CTCCAGACATCACTGGAGCGTCCGTACGGATCACCTCGGAGTACTTCAGGTGCCATGAAGGCCACGGTACCATGGCCGTCACCCTCAAACTCCTTGTCCCCAGTTAGATGTGCCTGCATACGTGCCGAAGCACCGAAATCGGACAGTCGAACATGTTGCCCAGTGGAGTCCACTAGTATGTTAGCGCCTGACAGCAGAGAGATCATCCGCACACCCATATACAAACACACACACACACACACACACACACACACGTCCAAATCACGCATGGGTATAGAAACTACGAGTGTGTGGGTATGTTACCTGCACTTCACCCTACGCGCATACTTCAGTAGATGATTGTACTTGCACAACAGTGCATGATACTACATGACCGTCACATTGATTATTCCCCGCTCACCAATACAAATCTACTCAGTATGATTGTACTTTTACTTGTAAAATGTACTTCTTTGAAGTACTTAGGCTAATGGGGTATTCACACGACAGGCAAATCCACGTGCACCGGAAAGTTGCTATGGTATTTTACCTGTGAACGAGAAAAGTGCCTGAAAGTGGCTGAAAAGTGAAAGCGAGCTGGGGGCCCACTTTCACGATAACCGTGGCGTGTACGAGTACATTCACACCAAAAAGCGCGAAACAAGACTTGATTTTTTACGCAGCTCTTTAGAGCATGATAATTTTTATTTTTTTTATTTATTTTTGCATGATAATTATCATGTGTGTTTTGAAAATTTGAAATACCCATGGCTACTGGTCGGTAAAGCATTAAAAAAAGCAAACGTGCCTGTCGTCGAGTGCAGCTGTGTGAATCCACACAGTCACTTTTCTCGTATGTCACTCCCTGTAAAACGTGCAAGTGCCTGTCGTGTGAATACCCCATAAGAGAGTTTTCAGACTTGTAATAACCTCTGGAAAGGTCGATGTCAACAACAAACATTCTGCTGTGGGCCAAACCGAGCGGAGTTGCACACTCTCTTTTTTTTTACATGTACTCCTGAACTAGCGCATGTGTTGCGCAATCCAGTACTTGAAGAGCTTGAGAACAAAACACGGTATATCCATTTTGGCACTTTTCGGGTAAAGTCAAAATTCTGTTCTGACATTGTCTTACATCCCATCCCAATGGAAATTTGGATTTAGTACCAGAAGGAATACTGGACCCCAAACACCATGTCATCAAAAATCCACACCTCTCAGATTTTGATATTTTTTGAATTTTTCACCTTCTTTTTGGCAAAACGCAGTATATCCGAGTGAGAATATAGGCACAAGACGCCCGCTCCCAGCAGGAGACAAAACAACTGGCTCACTCATACCATCTAATGTCACCTCCGCCACGCTGATGTCTAAGACAAGAGCTTTGACAGCGTCAGGAAGAAGAGAAAGCTAATTTGACAGCCATAAGTCGAGTCAAGCGCTCGTTCAAAAAAATAATTCGAACTAGTTTGAAAAAATGACAAAAAACAGTGTTCTGCGCGTTCTGAACACCACGCGCGCTGCCCACGACTGTATAACTATGACAACTGGCGTATACTGCGTTTTGAAAAAAAATCCTAGCCGGATATACAGCGTTTTGCTCTGAAAGCGACTGTTTGAATGGGGTTTTCTGTAGGATGTACTGCGTTTTCGCCAAAAATGACCTCGCCATCAAATTCAGCTCGATGTGATCTTTCAGTTGGGTCAAAAAATCTCGATTTTGAAGATTTGGCGCATACAGCGTTTTGTTCTCAAGCTCTTCACTTGTACACACATGGCTGCCAGTTACCAGTGGAGTCACAATCAAGTACATGCGGCGTCAACACTCAGCCTGCACTGACTGGTCATGACTGTGATAAATAATGAGAATTCAGGCAGGGATGATCATGCAGTCAAATCGTGGGGATTAAAGCGTTCCCATCCATATAAAACATCAACACTCACCTTTGATATCGCGGTGAATGACCCTGTTGTCGTGGAGGTATGCTGTTCCACGCAGTATCTGTTGCAAGTAGGTCGTTATCACACGATCGGTAAAGGCTCCATATCTCCGCAGCAGCTCTGAAATCGAACCGCCCGGCATCCATTCGACAAATATGTAGAAGTGAGTTGCTTCCTTCGTCGCACCGAGGCAGCGCACAACGTTTGGGTGCTCGAGTCGCGACAGCATGGAGACTTCATCCTGAATGTCACGCAGCACACGCTGCTGCTCTGGTTCTGTGTTGCGAACAAACGATACCTATTGCCAGTTGGAAACACAAGCAATGATGTTGCTCAAACATGGTAGAAAGAATTTACATACTACCGAAAGTACAACAGAAGTACACCGCACATGATATGTACTACCAATGCCCCTACAGTAAAATGCACAATGTATGAGCAGAACTAAATGCACACATTCATGTACAGTTGTGGCAAGCGAAATCCGACACTTGCCATAGGTGACAGCGCCACCAATGGGCAACAATGATGTAATGCACTGTACCCAATTTGTACATTAGAGAGCTGTAAGCATCCCAGACAGGTCGAAAGGTCACAGCATAGATACACACTAGGTACATATATGGAGTATTGGTATCCAGTGCCCATTCATTTTGCGAGCACCTTTGAACCTTTCACGTGAACCTAGTACAAAGACTGTGATGAGTACGAGTACTGTCATGAGACGGATAAAAGTTGTATGTAACACATGTACTACGTATGTAGGGCTGCAGGGGCTGCACACTGCAAGGTGCAGTATGCCAAGTGTCGGATTTCGCTTGCCACAACCGTACATGTATAATAGACTTTCATATTGTATTCTTGGCAAGACAACATCTTTCGTTGGTCTATGGTATGGATTACTTTGTATTACCAAGCATGGCAGCATTGCCTGAATCAGCTCTTTACTAACCTGTTTTGCACACATTAGTGTTCCCACGGCGACATCCCGTGCGGCGAAGACTGTGGAGAAAGCTCCGCTGCCAATCATCGGTCCTTTCTTCCAATGCACACCCTCCATGTAGATGTTGTTACCTCCATCTGGCTGCTCTCCGCTCTGCAGGGCGAGATCACAGTCGGCACAAGGGAAGTGAATAAATGCAGTGAAAATCGCATCACTAAATAGTCAGGTATCTAAGATACGGAATCATTCTGTACAACTACTGAAGTATCTACACACAGAAGCAGCAGCAACAGCAGCAGCAGCAGAAGTGGAAAGCACAGGTAAGAAAGCAGGATCAATCATGGATACAGAGAGTGCACAGCACTGTATCTCATTTTAGTGGGCATGCCCCTCCCTACTTCCCTCTCCCCACAACACACAAACACAATAAAGCCAGCAATAAATCACTGGAAACGGGCCGGGACAGAGCCTGTTGGTTATTCAGTTCTTTTGTGAAAGGTAGCGGTAGCAGCATAGCCACCACCACCAGCACCAGCAGCAGCAACGGCGGCAGCAGCATACACCTACCATAGGCTGCTCATGGATGGATACAAGCTCATCAGGTGGTGCCAGACCATGTAGCGGTGGTAGAGGAACTTCATACAGCGATGCCTCAGTTGCGGCACTTGTTGCTTCAACTTCAGCTTCAACCAGTTGGGCACATGTTGTCTCATAATACCTTTGCCTGGTATCTGACTCAATGCCAGAATCAAATCGGTCTATTGTTCTCTCCGGTGAGTTGGCCATGCTCATGATCTTTGACAATGACCCTGGCTTTCTCACAGAATCATTTCGGTTCTCAGTATTTTCTTCTGGGCCATCAGTTACGTCATTTCCTATAGGCAAGGAAGGTGGTGCATTTATGTCAGGAGAGGACTTTGTTCCCAGTTTCAATTCTTCACTGGAGTTGGAGTCAAAGTCAAGGTCACTTGTGGCGCTAGCTGCTTCACTGTTTCTGCTTTCAGGAGCATCACCGATTGCAAAGAGTATCATTCCAGAAGCATCCGGCGCAGGGATAGTGGATTGTGCATTAGATGCAGGCTGTACGCAGGAATGAATTGCCTGACTGTGTTCATTGCCACTTGCAGGTCTGGGCTGCTGTACTAAGGAGCCAGCATTGTCAACACAGATTGGCGAAGAGAAGCTGCTGCCTCTCCCGCCCACTGTCACTGCTGCTTCTGTGGATGCTACCAGCTGCAGCCCGGTTCCACTTCCACCATCAGCACCAGTGCCAGGACGGGTGAAGCTCATACTGCTGGAGTGCTCCTGACTAGAGCCATCGCTGGACTGTCTGCGAAGATCCAACACATCACTGTGTGTCATAGTAGCCAGACTGCTGTGGCTGTGGCTAACAGACATACTAGTACCGGCACGGCTAGCTGGACCAGAGCGAGGCGCTGGCGAGGGCACAGCACTACTTTCAACACTGCTAGTAGTCACTGGGTGAGGACGAGTAGCCTCCACAGCCACATCCACAGGTTCATCAGTTGATAGAAGAGGATACTCTGCGCTGTCATCAAGCTGGGGCCCGGTCGGTACGTAGAACGACCGCTCATTGTCCGAAATAGGTGGACTCAGTAGCGAAACAGGCGAAGCAAGTGAGAAGGCACGGCTGCGATTGCGAACACGCTTATATTTCACGGAGGCACGCTCTCCGTCCTCGCATTCATCATCATGCACACGAAGCCGCTGCTTCATGGTGCTGTAGTGTGGTGAGCTCAAGCAGTCCACAATAGCTCGGATGAGGCAGCGAGCAGGCTGCCCCCAGGTCAGTGCTAACTTGGCACTGTGCAAGAAGACACGCCGTGACATACGCGTGACAGTGATGTGCTGGATCTTCATGGCTGATCGGGCAAACAACACTGTCTGTATGATGTGCTTGAACGGCAATGCCCTCTGCACTTGCATGCTGTTGAGAGCCGGCTGCTCAGCATCCAGCAAGGAAGGGCAAGCCTGTGAAGCTACGTACGCTACACAGTCTTTGCACTCGTCAGCCGTCCACTTGTCCTCTTCGCAGACCGGCAATCGCTCTTCAGTGAGTAACATGTCGAGGAAACGCATTCTGCCCAGCCAGTAGTGCCATGAACCATCGCCACTGTGACGACGCTGCTCATCTACATAATCAAAACAGAACAGGACAGGACAGGGCAGACGGACAATCATACATAACGTTATATACAGACATACAGACATACATACATACCGATATGCAGACATACCGACATGCAGACATACCGACATGCAGACATACCGACAGACACGATCATGATACCGATATACAGACATACCGATGCAGGATGGATGGAAAGATGAACAAACGACTGCGGCAAGTAGATAAGATGCATAGTTGGTGATGAAGAACAAGTAGAGAACAAGTAGATATTCAGAACAGGAATAGAGAGGTTTGTACCAGCAGGGGTAATAGGCATCACCACTTTATCACACCCGTTGCTGCACAAACCTGTGTTGGCAGAATAGCTGCTGGAACATAAGAAATCACTTTGCTTACCAGTGTTTGCTACCTGCTGCATGATGAATTCCACACCGCCCAGTGAGAGTGAAGCATGGCGGGATCCCAGTGCGGAACCCAGAGCCAGTTTGCCTTGACGGTCCAGACAGAACTCACGCAGAGTCCTCATAGACTGTTCACGCTTTCTCCTAAACACAGGAAGCAAGCAAGTACAGGGCCACATGCACTTCACAGCCTGGTTACGGCTTGCACTGTGCTGGGACCACTCTGTCCAAGGGCTGTTGTACTCATAAGGTGGGATTTCATTTGCCAACACATCGTCACTCAGGAGTATCTATCTATGCAAGTATACAGACTGACATACCCACACATGCATGCATGCTTATACTGTATACTAATCTTGGTAAGAGGTCCACACTGAGGGTTAAACACACGTGACAAGCATGCCGTGACACATGCACCCCCCCCCCCCCCCCCACACACACACACAGACACGTGACAGTCATGCAGGCACACATGCACCCCTCCCCCCCCCCCCCCACACACAGGTATGGGAGGCAATGTGTGTGCATACAAGTACACCTACCTGTGTAACTCGGCACACTTGGTCAGGATTGTGCTGATTGTTGGTGTCAGCTTCTGTCTGAGATACGCTATTTGCTGTTGACTTGTGACTGGTACGTATGATAGTACGGTGTGCAGGAATTTCTGAATATAGCACAATCATACACAACCACAGTCATATGGGATGATGCCACATGACTACAGCATTGTGCAGCTACACAGAACTAGAAAAAAAGTAGACATGTTACGGTGATGCACATACATGTACTAGATAGACGTGAAGTCAACTTCTAAGCTGCAGAGCGTACTATTGAAGATGGAGGTTCGTGCAGCATGCATAAGTGGGTCTCCCCGAAGTGAGAAGGAACTGTTAGTACGAATTTTAATCAATTCCAGCCATGAGAGGGTTTACATAATTATTATTGCTTATTGTTATGTTAAGAAGAGGTTCGATGGACTTCTCGTGTGCTATGGATGGCAGCCGTGAGTCAGTCAAGTGAGAATTCAAGTCTACAGGAAAACCACGAGCTCCCATGTAGGGAGCAACACACAATGCCCCTTATCGTTATGTTACACTCTATCATCAGTATAGTGGCAGGATCCATCCTATCACTACAATCCCAATCTACCCGACTCAGTCATTCATAGCTTGGTGCAGAAGTAAGCTTTGTTGTCCCCATCTTGAAGGTGTGGCCTTCCCATGGCATGTTGTGCAGTTCATTACCTCTAAAAAAATGACCGAGAGTTTGCCAGAGAAATTATAGAGGAATTATAGAAGAATTATTGGAAGGGGAGAATTATCGTCTCAACTTTTCAAACGTAAAGGCTTTGGATATGTTAACACAGAGTTTGTGGAGTAACATACCCCACAAAACAATCCGTTGGGGGGATTTGACACGGAGAATTTTCTAGTTGTTGCTCATGGACACGGATATATTTGAGACACGATTTAAAACCACGGAAGTGCATTATTTACATAGTGGATTAGAAGAAATATAGCATCAATGCATTGCAGCGTTGCGGCAACAAGCGATAAGGTGCGGACTTACCAACGCTGCATCGTAGACTGTAATGACCTTGTCCATCACACAGTGTTCTACAATATCCAAACTGCACTCAATCAGCTGCATGGCCGGCTCAGACCAGAGCTGGGTGTGGTCATCCACCGGCCATTCAGGAGACTGGTTGATATGGCTGCTGCTGCTGCTGGTGACACTGTCAGAGGTCTGTGGTGTCGCACTGCGTCGACAGTCCATCATCTTGGACATGAAATCGCGCTGCAGGTGTCCGAGAGCGTTCTGACGGGTAAGCCATCCTTGCTCTCCGCGGCTGAACAGGGATACAACCGTGTCACGTCCAAACACCTGGGCAGGGAATTGTCAAGAACAGAGCCAGTTGAAAGCAAGCTCACATCACGGTTTTCCCTTCAGTAGATGGGCCGATAGAATGATCAAAAACAACACTTTAAGATGCACAGCAGACAAGTCTCTAGAAGAAGTCATAGTCCAAGAGTACTTGTGGCAATGTACGCTCCACTGCAATCTAGTAGTCCATGTAGGTACTTCCAAAGGACTACATGCAGACTGCTCAAGTCACACCACTCTCAAGCGCTCAAGTAAACCAACAAGAAGCTAACTCCAGGAGAACAATATCGATGGCATATAGCACAGTAGCTCTCATGTCACATAATCGCAAGAAGACGACCTGCAACATCCTTGGAACCGCAGGAAATGACCAAGGCATTGTGTCCAACAGGGCTTTAGAGCAAGTGTCACACAGATTCAGCACCTAATCTCATAGTCTCACACCGATGGTGGTAATGATCGGTTAGCACCAGCCACCTGACACCCCAGCTTATGACCAAAGGCTATCGGATGCGGAGAGTATCACAAAGACTCACTGCAGACATGCATGGCCAGTCACTGATGGATGTTGACGGTGAGTTATCATGCAGACAGGCAGTGTTAACATGCATCAAACTTGCCAGCTTCCCAAGTTAATAAACTGGACGAGGCGCGGATCATTTCCCACTTCTCGCAAACTCCAACATTTACAATAAAGTGAGAAATCTGGACCTGCTACCAACATTACCAGGCGCATCAGTGTAATGAGAACAGTACTACACTACAGCTACTGACTGTGATCTGGTCATAGTCAGAAGCCATACAGAGCATACAGTGTGAAAATCAATAAGTGATGAGTGATAGGATGGGAGCAATGGAAGTTACCTTGATCCATGCAGCAGCAGCCTCTGCATACTGCTCCGATATCGGGTCTGAGTATGTTTGAGACCTGTGAACATTCAGCACAAAAAGAAGATAGCAGGAAAATTCAACTTTTAAGCTCCATACAAAACTGCTAGCTACCGTAAAATGAAAGATCAGTTAGAGAGCAAGTGTGCCAGATGGTAGGTGCAGGCTGCAGACAATGCCACGGCAGGACTACTGGTATGTCGTCCCCTTACCCTCGACCAGACAAAGAGCCATCATCACTCGGCGATGGCAAGTCAGGCCAATCAGCGCGGCACAGAGGACAATGAAGTGGCTCGCCTTGTCTCCTGCGCTCCAACGCCCCTGTGGTACATGAATTGCACCAACAACACCAATGCCGCAATCATCAGAGTACTGTCTCAGTTTAGGTAGCAAGAAGCATGCATACAGAGTACTGTCTCAGTTTAGGTAGCAAGAAGCATGCATACAGATTACGGCAAGGCGCTCAGTCATACGACACAGGCTACACATCCACCCACACTGATTTCCAGCAGTGATAATGATGAAAGAAGGCTCACAAACGTAACAGATAGAAACCATTGGTAAGAGCTTTCCAGATCATTAGCACTTTGCAAGGATGCAAGCATCGATTAAATGCCCACACACCTACTTACAAATCCTGATGCAGTGCATGTGCAAGCGGTTGTGACATCCTTTGGTACATGTGATCATGCTCTCGCCGTCCACCATCTCCAGAAGACAAATAGGGCAGACGTCTTCGTCTTCATCATCTTCGTCATGCAGGTGCTCGCCGTCGTTGGCAACAGTAGCAGCAAGTGCAGCAGCGACAGCCTCAGCAGAATCGGCACTAGAGTCCTCCGATGATGATGAAGAAGCAGACTGACTGTCAGAGGTGATGTCCCTGGAATCCTCACTGGAGTCGGAGTCAGTCTTCTCGTCATGTTCGCCACGCTCATCTATCCCCTTCGCGCTGGCCGTGCCCTTCTCAGGAGTAGCGCCTCCCTTTGCTGTCTACACGATATAGCAGAACACACACACAGTTCAAGTATATGTAAGGGAGAAAAATACCACCACCACACACACTCACACACACACGCGCGCACACGACATGCATGGCACACGCACACACACGCACACGCACACGCACACACACACACACACACACACACACACACACACACACACACACATACGCCCGTACACATGGATACTAGTATAACTTACAACAATATTGCTGTGAGACTAAGATAAGCCAATGGCGAAGACTATGAGGTGACTTCACATGACTATGAGGTGACTTCACATGAAGACTATGGGGTGACTTCACATGGAACTGGTTTCCAAGAGAAAAGGGAATCACAGCAAATCATGCGAAGCAGTACGTACATCCTTTTCGCAACACAAACCTAAAGAAAAGCCCTTACAACAATATCTCGCCACCTCTGGCTGTTGGGCACTTCATACAGGTTTCCCATCAAAGAATTCCGTAGCCGATACGCAACTTACCTTCTTGATACAACCGCGGCGAGTCAGCGGGGAGCTAGACGTATTGGACACTACGACCAGTGGAGCAGTGGCTGCAGCAGCTCCGGACTCATCTGCATTCTCCTGCTGGACGTTGGGTCGTGGTTCAATGACTGACGAGGATCGGTTGGGCTGAAGAGGCCGCTTGCGTAGCGACACAACGCCTGTCGAGTGGCGCCGGTTGGCCCGACTGCTGTTGTTCATGCGACGCGCCTGCCGGTTGCGGAACTGGTTAAGTAAACTCTCCGCCTGAGACACACATGGACACCAGCAGCAGGAGCCAGCAGAAAGAAATTACAAGAGTCATACATTAATGGAGGTACACAATGCACCTAAACACAGGGACAAAAGTTGACACTAGTGCGGCGGCTGGCAGCATGCTACGGCCCTACCCATCAAGTCCATAAGTATTTGGATACAGCCTGAATGGAGAGAACCAGCTAGTTTCCATGCTTACATTGTGTTGCTAAACCCCAAAGTTGAAAAAAGAAGAGATTTGCATGTGGTAGGCCCGGTGCCAACGGCATTCCTGCACGAGATAAAGACTGTACCAGCACTTCCTAGTAAGCATAATGGTATGGCAGAATATAAAAATGATAGCCAGCGAAAAATAATCCCGGCGCGATAACAAATGCGGCCTTCAGTCAACACCGCAGATGCAGATCTGGTCGTGCATCCTACCTCAAAATTATGGAGCTTCTTGGACCACAGCAGTGAGGAGGTCTGTTCGACTTTCAGCACTCGCACCATGACAAAGAGCACGTGGATGCAGTTTGCCTTGCTGCAGCTACATTTCTGTGAAAAACAGCCGGGGAACAGGAAGAAAGTAGAGCATCATTTCAACGATGATAATATTATACATACATGTATCTGTACATATCTGTCCACCCACACTCACTTCAACAGGCACACACTATGTTACTACCAGCATTAGCATCATGACCTGGTTTGAGTCCCGTGCTCGGTATGATAGTATTAAATGTCCTCCGATTACAACTGGCCCAACTCTTGACGGAATCGAATTCGGTGAAACATCTGGAGAATGGCTTATTTGGAATTGCACAGCAGTCGGTGAACCATTCACAGAATCATACTCGAGGAAACATTCAGAGAATGGCTTACCTGAGATCCTATAGTGACCTTAAACTTCTGATCAGTGGAGTCACCGGCGATGATGAACGAGTTGGGTCCACTCTGCTGCAGTAAGTAGAGCCGTGCCTTCAGCACACGCTCCACACGCTGCTGGAACTGGTCACATCAATTGAAAAGATATGCATGCACACCACCCATGTGCATCTTGGATCAGACAGTGTGCCTTATTGTACAGTCATGGTCTTTGCACAGTAACCACACGCGCCACATGACGTCCATGTGCCGCTTCATGCATCTTGACATTGCTTAGTTCCCCAGTCTATAACACATCTACAGACCTACTCATCTGCTCACACCAAGTGACTACAGGAGGAGAGTGGACAATGTCATGCAAAGTACACGGGTAGCTGAAGACTAGGAATGCAGCAAATATAGCAACACAGGCCAACATAAATCATCAGAGAAGTCTTCGACAGAACTTATTGTCTATGGGTGATGGCGAGGCAGGGTAATTCTACGTCTTCGAGTGAATGATTTTAAAAGAACCTCAATTCGAGGCAGAATGGGATGCATGTACTACCACGAGCTCAACCTTTAGCAAATCACTATTTAGTTTGGCTCACCTGTGGTGGAGCACCACCAGCGGCACCATGTGCCGGACTGGATGGCAATGGTGTTGGTGATGGCATTAGTACTGTAGGGACCCCTGTGGCGAGAGGCGATGAAGACGATGAAGAAGATGATGCCACGGAAGATGGTAGAGGCGGTGGCACCGAATCAGGAGGAGAGATGGCGTCAGCTTCATCCGTGGCTTCTTTAGGTGGCGCGATGTCCTTGCTCTCAGGCTGGCTAGCAGTCTGTGGCACAGCCTGTTGCTGCTGTTGTTGCTGCTGCTGCTGCTGTTCTCCCTGTTGTGGTATGTATGACGGGGAAGATGATGATGAAGTTGAACTAACCATGATCCCAGATGGCGGTGATGTGTTGGAACTGGGCGGCGTGGGACTTGCTGATGCTGAATGAAAACATGTTAACACAAGATATCATCATCGGTAGCACCTACACATTGATGTTTTATTCATCAACTTACTATTGTACTGTCACATGAGCACATACACCAGGTGCCCACAAAGGTCACATGTACAACAGCAAGTTCTACTATACGTAATGTGACCATGTGTCCTCTTTCACACCTTCCTGTCCACGCATGTGCCTTTATGCACCCGCCATAACTGTTGCCTGTACTCAGCGTTTAAATGCTTACACACACCATGTACCATGTACCATGTACCATGTACCATGTATACGCCCATCGCAAGAGAAGCACGCAACTCTGAAAATGCACTGGATGTTCACCCACAGATTTTCTCTTATAGCAATGATAGCGGACAAGATCTGAATGAGACAGATCAAGAAGGGCGCAAGATAACTTCAGACACACACACACACACACACACACACACACACACACACACACACACACACACACACACACACACTCTCTCTCTCTCTCTCTTTCTCTCTCTCTCTTTCTCTAGCTGTCTTCACTAAATCATAACTTCCATCTAACTACCCTGGTTTGCTGACACGCCCCCCCCCCCCCCCACCACACCCCCCCCCCACCACACAGTTTACTCCCCCCCCCCCCCCACCGCACAGTTTACTCCTAGAAATTGGTGTGCTTTACATACCTCCCACTTGACACTTTACACATATCACA